AAATGAAGAAAGAAAATCACAATATTGATCCATATTTTTTAATCCAATCTAAGCTTTCGGCTTACATAAGCCATTATCAAAGATGTCAATTACTGTACAACATATTAAGCAATATACGGACAAGACAGTGTTGACAGTCTGTGATTGTTTACATGGATGATTTCCTAGCAACGATAAACATGTGCATATAAGATGCTAGAAGTGAAAATTGCACTGCAGCTCATGACGTCACACATGACCACGCGAGAGTGAATTCGAGAAGTATTAAGTATGGGAATCCGTTGGTATAAACATTATAGACATTTAAGGATATTTGTTGAGATTCCATAGTTGATTTTGTTTAGGTTAGATTTCAACTGTTTGATGTATATTGTTTCAAGGATTTTTAGTTTTTGTCTGTTGTTTTCATGTTGAAGTATAATTGTGTTTCCAACAAGGATTTTATGGAATTGTGTGTGCGGCCAGGCATGTTGTTTTAAATGCCTAAAAATGTTAGTTTTCATTCAAATGTAGTGTCAAGCTTCGTGAAAACAAGTTTGTGGTGTGACCAACATAAATATTATTTAATTTGTTGGAGATACAATCTCCAAAGGGCACTTTGAATTTATAAACTATGTTGATTTTTTTGTAATGTTAATCGGGAGAAGAATCATTATGAAGAATTGTTGGATATACTAGATTTAGTGTATCCAACTTAATTCTTCACAATGATTCTTCTCCCCGGTTATATATATATATATATATATATATATATATAAAGAAAGAACAGTAAGATATATAATCCGGTGTTCTTATAGATATTTTTATTTTTACAAAATAGTGCTCAATGTAATATAAAGACATAATCTGATGAAAATATGATGTTTTTTTTGCTCTGTGCAGCAAAAAAAAACATATTTTAAATCAGTTAATTTATAATATATATATGTGTGTGTGTGTGTGTCTTTAGATAGATTGATTCTTCTGCAATGATTAAAAATTACTTGATGTTCTTGTATATATTTTTTCTTTTGCAGGAACAATCACAACTATCAACGTATTACAAGAATCCTAAAAGCACTTTTAGTATTAGGATGTAACAAGTTGATGCTACCTTGGTTGAAATTTCTGGCTGATTTGATCTACAAGGAAAAGAAACTCACCTTTGCTCACTTCTCTTTTGAGAAATATTGGGTTGATACTTTAGATGCTGAGAACAAATTAGAATTGATATCATACGTTGATAAATTAACAAAATTGAAACTAACTGGCATTACAGCACATAGTAAACCTAGTGATACTACTGAAAATATCACTAGTCCTACAATTACGACTAACACAAAAGCAACTATTGAGGAGAGTGAGTCTTATAGCAGGCCAGAGGGTGTTAAAGTTACTAATGCTGGTAGCACAGCAACTACTTTCAACTCTAATGTTTCTAATACTTCATCTCAATTGAAAATGGAGAAAACTGCTCAAGGAGACACTACAAAAACCAGCAGTATGCCCACAAGTAAGTTGAACCTCTTTTTATCTGAATAATTTCCATCTGAAAAGGTTTATTAACTTATTAATTTCCAGCTTCAATATTTTTTAATTGGATTCACTCCATGTAAGGCAGTAAAGCCACTAAGGCATAAGGGGTTACTGGATGTGGGAGAATTAGAAAGCAGAAACATTATTGTAGAGTGAGAACAATAGAAGAGTAATCAGGATGACAGTAAGTTAATAACTGAGATTGCATTTAAGTTTTTGAAGATCAAACTTGTCTAGGAAGCAAGAAACTGGAAGAGAGTTCCACAGGTGAGAAGTGTAAGAAAAGAAACTGTTACCATATTGTTACATCTAGCTAATTCAACTGTAAACTGATAGGTTTGGTTTGGTTTATTTTGTTTTACGGCATATCAACATCAATGGGTTATTTAATGCTGACAAAATTTTCATTGCTGGTAATGTTTTTCTTCAAAAATCTATTTCTTGGAATATTTTTCTTTGAAGAAATCTATAGCTGGTCATATTTATTTCAAAGAATGTATAACTGTTTGTATTGCTGTTTTTTTTTTAAAAGTATTACTGATAATAATTTTTCCTTCAAAAATTATTGCTAGTAATAATTTTTTATTATAAAGTATTTCTGGTATTAAAACCTATTTTTACACAAGTTTGGGTATTAACTATTTGCCCATTGCTGGGATCCTAACAGGTGCTACCACCCCAGGTCAGGGTGGACCTGAGAACACCAGCAATTAAGAGGTGGTTCCATGCTCCTGAAAACCTCCTGATCAGAGGCCTTGCTGCTGGACGAAGTTTATCGTCTTACCTAGTATGCAGATGTAGTTTATCGTCATACCCAGAACTGTAAACTGATAGGATTTTTGTTGGGAGATGATTTATGGCAGTACTAGTAATCTAGTACTGCACTTAAATTCATAATGTCTAGGCACCTTAGGAGAGCTCATCTGAATAACTTACTATGAAAGTATTTATAGAAAAGGCACTGGGAAGCTACATTACAGTGGTTGGAAAATGACTGAGCTGAGACACCAGATCAAGACTAATAATATTGCTGATTCTTCTTTGGATTTTATCAAGAATCTCTAAATATAAAGTAGGAGCAACAACCCATATGTGACAGCAATATTTGAGGCAAAGATAAATGGTAGACTTTTAGATATGTAAGATAGATTCAGGTGAGAAAAAATGTCTAGCATGACACAGTGAAACAACTTTCTTAGCTGCAGTCCTAACAATGGATTCAATATAATCTTTCCACTTCATGTTAGCCAAGAATTTTAGCCTAAGAAGGCACAAGTCACTCCCCTGGAGTTTAGTATCAGTTAGGCAGATGACCTCTTTCTGCTGTGGAAGGTAGAAAGGGATCTCTCAGATGTTAGCAGTTTAATTTTGGAGGTGTTAAAAATTAACAAATCATCCTTTGTCCAAGTTAACTACAGACTAGGTTTTTTTTTTTTTTTTTTAGATCAGCTGCCAATTTGACCTTATTGAACTGATCAGACTTACTATCGAGACAGGAGTAAACAGCTGTGTCATCAGCATAGATACCAAGTTGAGAGCCGATGCCATCAGGATGGTCATTGAGGAAAGTTAAGCACAAAGTAGGACCGAGGGTAGAGCCCTGGGGGACACCTGAATTAGTATGAAAGGGTCAAAAAGAGTGGCCATTCAGGACATCTTTCATTTTGTAATTAGATAAAGACTGAATCCATTCAAAAATATGTCCGGAGATTATAAAATTTTAAAGTCAAAATTTGGTATTAATTATAGATTTATAAAAAAAATATGACCCCATATTATAGGTTTTTTTTAATCATTTTATGCCAAGCAAGACGATAATGCCAGTAAGATGCAAGGGGTTACTGAGAGTGAGAAGACTTTAGTGAGAGGAAAGAACAATAAATGGAAAGGATTTAGGAAGAAAGAAGATAGCAACTGACATTACATTTACATTTTTGTAGACTACTGTAAGTGGTAGGGAAACATGAAACCAGAAGAGAATTCCATATCTTATATAAAATCTGACATCAATTATAAAAGTTAAGCAGTGTCATCCCTGGTCAGTAACTAGATGAATGACCACTTGGGAATACTACATGCTGTAAGCTTGGATGTGCAGTTAGTGTAAATAAATAATGACTCAGAATTGTTAACCATTAAAAAACATAATTGAGGAATATAATGCAACTGTTAGGCAAGGCAAGTCAAGATAAGGTCAGGAATTCCCAGCATGAATCCAGTTAGTAGGATATATTTCTTTTCTTTTTTTTTCTTTGAACAATTATTTTACTATCCATCAATTTAATTCATTCATTTAATTTTATTATTTTTTAAAAATATTTCAAATAAATTTTCTTTCATCTTCATCATTTTATTTAACAGCATATCACTTGCATGGAAGTGCCTACTTTGATACATTTTATGATTTTTTTTAATTTCAGCAAACTCATTAAAAGCTTTTAATTAACACTTTATTGTCACAATTGTGTGGAGTTACCTATCTTGATACAGTTTATGATTTAAAATCTGCCAAATGAACAAATATAATAGCAAACTACAGGCTTATTCATATGGCATCAGTATTAAGCAGCTTTTAGGTAAAGCAAGTCAAGATAAGGCCAGGAATCCCCACTTTGTGTGCAATGCCATGACACATTGCTTCCATGTTGTCTCCCCACTTATAAAACATTCTTTGACCCATATACATGGTCATCTCACTAATGTTAAGACTAAAAGTCATCATACATGCAATCAGTAGGATACATTCTCTTTGTATTTTTACTTTGAATAATTATTTTACTATGTTGATTGAAAAATAATTATTTTGAAAAAAATTTTAAGTTAGAATAAATATTTATTATATCTATCATGCTATATAACTAGATTAAGATCAAAAAGGTGATATGTCTTTAAAACAATAAATATCAATAAGAAATGAAAATTTTTAAAGAAGCAATCTTTAAAAATTTTCGTTTATTATTTCATATTTATAGTTTTTTAAAGACATATCACCTGGTTATTTTTCCAGGTTGTATTAAAAAGATGAGGTACAATAATAAAATATTTATTCTTCTAAACAGAAGCAGAATCATCACAAAAAGGAAAAGAAACCCACATGTGGTTCATTATAGTTTTCAATACTACATGTATATGGTTTTTCTCTTTGGCCTTTACCTTTGAGTTTTCATTGTTGAATTTTCTTGTGATGTATATCCAAAAACATCCATATCCAATGTGTTTTTTTATGATTAAATCAAAGAAAGAAGATCCTGATATATGTTATTGTTGAGTTGTTTGGAGTGTTCCCGTGTGTGTGTATTCGAATAAAGACAAACACAGTTGTAGTGATAAATATTGGTATATTGGTAAGAGGTAATTAACAACAGAGTGATTAGTAATAAGGAACGCTGGTTAGTAAATAACAATAGCAAAAGTCTACAGTCCAACGGTATGTAATGGTAACCTGATCCTTCACACTACACCACTACTCTCTCTAGCACTGACTTATATCGTAGAGGGATAAGTCCATTATCAGTCAGAAGGTGGGTGCCCCCTAACAGTTATTCAATTTATATCAAATGATATCAAATTTGGATGCCTTTTATTTATCTCCAGATGAAATACATTATGCTACTGAAGCTGCTTCACCAAGACATAAGTACAATTTTATGATTACATATCCTATACAGGATGATTATGATTAATGTGAATATGCCAATAAAGATAAGGATAACAGTCTAAATAATGTAAATAGTATAAATAGAAAATTGAGATATAGTAGAATAGGGTGGGCGTTGTATCATAGTTCGTAAGCCTTGCACCAGCTCTGCATAGTGTCATCTGCATATCTGATGTTGTTAAGATTAAAATCATTAAGACTTTGGCTGCAATAATAAATCCTGGTGTGACACGCTCTGGAAGCTCTAATCCTTGACCATAGTACCCAATAATGTGGTACCTTTGGCTGCCTTTGGTCAAAGGACCAATAACGTACCACCTTCTGAGCTCTAAGGTCTTTGATTGGATCTGAATATGTAGCGCCAAAGCCCTCAGGCTCATTCAAGATATAAGATGCCACAGTAAGTTACTGAAGTAAGCTGTTCAGTCCCAACCTTTGTCCTATCTCATGTTGTGAATTTTTAATCATAGGTGGGTCAGGTCTGGTTGCTGTTGGAATCTTTGTTACCAAGTTGATTCACTAGGGTGAAGGTGTACATCAATAAAAATAAAAAAAATTTTTTAAAAATATGACACACAGATAATAAGTAACAAAGTTTACCTTTATATTGGTTCTTTGGTTTACAACAAGTATTGTCCCAACCAGTCCTAAAAAAGTGTGACACCTAGGCAAGTTCTCAGAGTTGGATTACAAAATTCTATTTTCAATGTGGAGTTTGTTCTATTTTTGATGTTCAGGTAATTCTGCTTTTTGGTGTCAACTTGTTCTGTTTTTCACATTATCTTTTAGTACAAGGGTGATGATTACTTCTTGGTCTTAGCATAGTTTTTCTTCATAGTCGGAATTCCTGTTCTTGGCAGGAGTCATGTGGGCAGTCTCATGGAGCTGGTAGAAGGATTTAACAGTATCAGGATAGAATTCTCTTGCAGTTCACTATTCTCGGACCTTAAATAGTTTACTTATATCTGAAACTCCATCAATGCATTATCACAGAGGTGGGTGGTCTCCAATTTTGGCATGATTCCCCAAATCTAATAAAGGTCCCTGTTTAGCTTTAATAACCCACTTTTATGAGATATTGTCACTAAAAAAACCCATATTCCTTCTTTCATCTATTGGCATGGCTTTACACTAACACATTTTGAAAGGTGTTAATAGCTTTTCTCCATATTTCCTGTTGTCTTAAGAAAAGTGGATGACAGCCATATACAAGATGGCCAATAGTTTCTCAATCTTTGTGACGCAATTCAGTTTACCTTATTAATTAGAAGACTTTATCTCCTCAACGTTTTGCTTACATATGATTTTCCGGCTTGTCAGCATCAGAATTAAAATTATCATTTGGAAATTTGCCTACACAAGTCTTTTTCTCACCATGTCAAAATTCTGGTAATTAACATATGGTCTTTCTTGATCAGCCATTCCTTAAATTCTATTCCTGTTTACAAAGAATCTGTTTTCCACTTCTGGACAACAGATCATATCTGTGTTGATCCTAGACATTCCATACTCTGAATCAACACTCCTTTAATGGCCACCTGCTTTCTGTTGTGTTTTGATAACCAGCAATTTTAATGACCATCATTCATCAATTGTCAAGATTGCCTATTTGTAAAATTAAAGCTTATGCACTTGTTTTATAAATGTAAACCTCTGTTGTTCCCAGCACTGGGTCCTTTGACCACCCTCCTGGTTGAGTCAGCCTATCCTGATTATCTCCAGCACTTTTCATAATTAATTAATGAAAACCACATTGCATTTTCAAAAACATCATCCTTTCAACAATTTTATTCTGAGAATTTTAATTTCTTCATAAAATTAATTTTTCTTTATTGTAGCCTGATCAGTCCATCCTTCATTATATTTTCTATGCCCAATTTCCAGTTAAATATTATATACTGATCAGTCTGTATTCTAATATATTTTCAGGGTTAAACATCTTCATGTTAAATGGTGTGCCATGAAGGCGTGGAGTTTTGACCTGTCTTCTTAGAGCTAATATGGTTATAGATTACTTAGATTTTTCAGCATTTCGCCATTATTATATATATATATATATATATATATATATATATATAATACCTATCAATCTCACTTCTCTGACTTCTACAAAAAAAAAAAATTTATGGATGAAAAAAGATGTTACTGGTATTTTACCCATGCATGCATTAAATAAACCCTCCTACTAAATAGAGCAGGTAAAAAATACATGGGGAAAGTTTCAGCAGAAACAAACCACTGAAAAGGGTTAATAAAGCGTGCAATGTTAATAGATTTGTGAATTCCGTTCCTTCAAAGGAAAAAAATGTTTAAAACAAAATTAATTAAATTTTCCTTGTCTGCAGTATTTAACGAAAGATGTTTAAAGAAAGGTTTAATCAAATATACATTAATATATATATATATATATATATATATGCTGAAGAGAAATTGTAGATCAGATATGGATAGGAATGTGATAAGATGATAAAATAAAGAAAAGAACGAGTAGGAAACACATTTCAATCTAACATGTTTCACCATTATTAAGTCTTCGTCTGAGAATGGACATGAAAAAAGCAAAGAGACAGAGTACTGGTATGTTATGACTTTTGGCTTGTTCTCATTGGTCAGACATGAATCATGCGTATTCCTGTCATGTGTTAATCTTTTTGGTATATTTTGACAAATGTTTTCTGTACAGATGATTCCATCCTATTGTTTATCATTGAAACTTTCATTTTAACAATAATAAAATGGTCTCAGATATATTCAGCAATTAGTAAATTATATATATATATATTTATTATATATATATATATATATATATATATATATATATATTCATGAATTATCTACACAAAAAATTTCTGCCACCAAATCATTAACCTTTGCATTTGTTTTTTTGTGTGAATAATTCATGAATTTGTAAATTGATTGCACGTTTATCAAAATTATATATATATATATATATATATATATATATATAATAATTAACCATTATAAAAAAACTGCTACATAAATGTAATCATGTTTCAGCACTGTATATGCTTCTTCTGGCAGTGATGGTCAACTGGAGAATAAACAGTCATTTTATGGTTTTAAAAGCGGCAATACCCTCAAGGGGAAAGATGGGGGGTATAATTGAATCAATTGATGTTGGGCTAACGATGAGTTAAAAGTTAACTTCCATGTTGGATTTCTGTTAGCTGTTCAAGTTATTTAGAATCCCAACTCAATGTTAATAGGGTATCAAGTTCATAGTATTCTTTGATCTTAACTCAATAAACTAACATAAGAATGTAAACAATTAAGATGAGAGCAGGGGATAAGTCTACCAATAAAACTGTTTGTGCACCATATCTATATCAGCGAGAATTGACCATGATGTCAGTGCTATATTCATTTTTGTGCAGTTTAGACAACAATTTATCCCTCGCACCCTGTATGTTATTCAACTTATAGCAAATGATATCAGTTTTTGATGGGTTTTATTTATCTCCAGGTAAAAGAACTTATGCTACAGTAGCTTCTCCACCAAAAGGTAAGTACAATTTTATAATTCCATTCTGGACAGAATTTATTTCTAATTATCTATATCAACATTATTCAGTTTTTGATGTTTCATTATTTAAACAAAATGTGGAATATCTTTTGTCTAATCTTTGAGGAAAAGTTTGCATTTGACAATAGTCAGTATTAAACTTTTATTTTCCATTTATGAAGAATTTTCATCTGAAAAAATATCATTGTCTTGAATTGATTTTGGTTGCATTTGTATTGTTCTTTCTGATACTCTTCTGAGCTTAAATTTGGTATTCTTTGTTCTCATGACTTTAATGAACTCACTCTGTTCTTGTTTGATTTCCAGTCTGATTCTGCTGTGCACTCTATTCATCAAGATTCAGATGATAAGTTCTGTTACATGGCTCATTAGGATTGCCCAGTAAATTTCCCAACTGTTTGCACCTGGCTTTTTAGGTAGAAATATAAATATGGATTACTTAGATCTTTTGGTATATCGCCACCTTTGTACATATATATATATATATATATATATATATATATATATATCAGATTGAAGTCAACATAGGTGCAATCATCAGGTCAATCATCATTGATGATTGCACCTACCATGAAACAGCTTTCGCCTCTGGAGTGCTGACTTCACTGTTCACTTTATATTTATATTTGCATATGCTCTATCCCTGATAATGAGCACCTTATCCCAAAAATATAGCACCCTTTAAAACTTTATTTCTGCATATATATATATATATATATATATATGCCTATTTATATATTATATACTTGTTTCATTAAGAAACCAATTGAGCCACAGAGGATCGTTCAGTTAGCAAGATCGATTTTAAGGCATGTCAGGCTATATTAGAGTTCCGTATAGGATACAGGTTCGATTCCTGTCAGAGGACGAATATTTTCTATGAAAATTCCTCGGACACTCAGGCTGGTAAATGTCATTAATACTGTTTATTATAAACTGAGCATTTAATTAAATATTTGTATCTATAAAAAGAATGTATAAACATAAAAATGTCTTAAAATAATTGTCAGACTTTGTCTATTTCATAATGTGTGACGTCATTTGTTAACATCTGGATACGCTTTGAGCAGATATAAATGTATGTAAAAGATTCATGGAAGATTGTAGTTTAAAGGCAGTAAAATCGACCTTGCTAACCAAATGATCCTCTATGGCTCAATCAGTTAAGGCACATCAGGCTATATGATGGTTCTATATAGGATACACGTTCGATTCCTGTTGGAGGATGAATGTTTTCTATGAAAATTTCAGGCCGATAAATGTTATTAATACTGTTTATCATA